GTATTTTTTTGTTTGTTTGTTTTTTTAATTAGAATTGATTTTTTCTTCTAGAATGAGAACCGCGGAGCATCTACCATCAGGCTGGCCATTTGAATCAAGTCATTATCACAGCACATTTAGAACACCCCAGCTGGCGTACTGCAGACATAATGTACAGCCTTACTCCGTGCATCGGAAAAATAATCCACATGCAGCAATTCTCGACCCATGGAAGTACCCGGATAAGGTAACATTTCCTCACATTTGTGGGAGAGTGGGGATGGGTGGATGGCAACCTTGTTACCAGGGTCTTTCTTCCTCACGCACTTTCTCGCTTGAGGGAGTGGCAAGGAGATAGAGAGAGAGCCTAGGGGAGAGTTTGGGCCACTTGGTTTGTGAGACATAAACATTTTTTTGTTGATGTTTTTAACAGAGTTACTTGGTGTGGAGGGACAATCCATCTTTGAATCTCCCGCCTGTTCGGGAATCGCAGTCGGCACCGAACATTCTCCAACATAACAAGAGCCGTCGGATGTCAACAACATACAATACCACCTTCAACGCAAGACCTCTGGGTACGTACATTGTAATAACAAGAGAGAGAATGGAATTCGTAGCAAGCGCTATGATGATATAGAAGCGAGTCGAAACTACACGCACGATAAGCTCGACTCCTCGCGCGAGTGCAGCTATTTACTTGTCTATTTCTCGCGCGATTCTTGGCTTGCATGCAGTGTGTGTTTTAAATCAAGCTCGGTGAGTTTTCTGAGATTTCTGAGATTTCTGAATATCTGATTCTAGGAGAAGAAGAGGAGGTAACAGTTAGACAAATCCTAAAAAAATGAAGGGAAAGGCCAGAAAAAGGAGTCATTTTTATAGCATGCTAACTCGAGACTGGCGAGGAGCTCATCACCGTCCTTTAATTGACTGGATCTGCGTCGTTGCGCCTGTATATCTGTGGCTGAAAGGCTTAGCTATGTATTCCTTCGTTCACTCTGACCGAGACTGAGGAAAATGTATTTTTTTTTGTCAGAACTTCCAAACTACAAACCAAGAACTGCATGGAAATCAGACCGCTTCAGACCGACCTCCAAAGGTAAAGCCGGGAAAAGTGTGGTTTAAAAGCCCCAAAAGTTTTAAGTCAGTTCTTTTGCATGATTTTCTCTCACTGAGAGAAACTTTATTTTCCTGAAAGGTGTTGAAGGAAACTTGACAAAAGATGTGTGTGAATTCCTAGAAGCTGCTAGAAAACTGAAAGTAAATTGTATATGAAATCTAGAAAAAGGAACAGTTGAGCATGCTCGAACCAATTTTCCTCTCATATTTTCAGCCCAGACCCCTGCTCTTCATTGGCAGACTGAGTACTCTCACGACTTCAGAGGAGCCCGAGGAAGACCGACCACGACTGAACGGTACTGTCAAGATGTCGATTGCTTCGTAAATTACCTTTATATTTTCATAGTTTCTAGTCGTAGTAATAATGGTTCTCTTGTTCATTTTTTTAAGCCCGTGGGACATGTCTTGGAGTAACTTAAACATGTGACATGCGCAAGAATTGCTCCCCGATCACCTGAATATGACGTCTGAACCAGCCAATCAAAGCTTAGAATCCATTTAGAAAGTTTAAAAGTAGAGTTGTTCGCCTTTTGTTTCCTGTGAGTCATTTTATGATATAATGTTGTAACTGCGAAATTTGCTGAAGTTTTGTGAAAGATTCAACCACAAGCTTAAAACATAAAATTTGTATTTTGTAATGTTAAAAATTATATATTTTTTAGTGAAATAAAACTGCAGTGAAACACAGTCATCCTTTATGACGCAGAACCCTCTTGGTCCCCGATGCAAATTACAATAAATTATCGGTATAAAATTGGTTATAATAAGAGACGGTATGCGAGGAAAACTCGGTGGTCTGATGGTTGAAGCGTTAGACTTTGTATCGACGGATCTGGGTTCGAGATCTGGCCGGTCATCGTGGTGTGTTCTTTGAGTAAGGCTAGACACTATTTTACCTCCTAAATAGGTATCAGAAAGAAAATATGTACTCAATAAATATTATCATAGGTCACGGAGATAAGTTCAATAAGTTTATAATCTCTTGGTACCAGCCCATTGTCAGGGAAACTTGACGGAGGAGCAATACTTTCACTTGCTTCCATGCCAGTCAAAACAACAAGTGGTAAGAGGCTAATATAACACACAACGTAGCTTAAGGTCTTGCATCTGTTAAGAAACAAAAGTTTGGCGATGTAGAAAAAAAAAAAGAACAAAACATAACGAAGAAGATTGTTGGCCAATATTAAGCTGAAAGGGAATTTCCAGCGCGATAAGCTCTTGATGCGAACTAATTGCTCTGCTTTGTCAAACGCATTGTTTGAAAATGAGTAATAATCCAATTTGATAACCAGTTTTAATTCAGCATGGATGAAAGTCTGTTACTCTTCCCTCTATCAGTTATCAGTTATTTCTGCTGAAACTATCTTGGCTGGTCTGTCTTCGGTAACCGTATATATAAATGTTCTGTTTGACATGCACTGTTGGGAAAAGGTTCTAAGAAATAACAGTGCGGTATACGAGGGTGATATTGGTCTGATGGTTTGACGTAAAGTACACTATAATAAAGAGAAGCTTTTAAAGGGATTACAGCTATGTTTACTTAATCGAGTGTCAAATGGATATGTAGTTTAACGACTTCCGGCTCGAGCTTGTTGTTTGGCTTGGTAACCAATTTTTTCTTCGTATGAGCTCCAGCGAAATTCTCGAACAGTGTTTTTCCCTTTTCCTGCGCCTGTCTGGTCAACTTTTTTAAAACGCATTTTAAATCATGCTTTATTTCCCTGAGGAATATAAAGTTCTATGACGTAAATTACAAAGACATTACCCACATGCACATAAACAGAACACATGTTGTTAGGCTAATTCCCATGTGATTGTCGTTCTATCTGTGATGACTAGATGAGCTACACAACCACAAAATCCTAGCGCGGTGTAAGAAAACATCAGCAAACTCCATGTAATTTATTGATAGACAGGAAGGAAACGCAAGAAAAGTGAAGGAAAAATGCATAAAGTTCACACTTTAGCGACGAATTATGTTTTCAAACGAGAAGTTGAAGGTACAGTGAGTTGATACGAGCTTGTGCGCGTAGCTACTAATTCAAAGCGTTCCCAAACATCAGCCTTTGCGCAACTTATTAGAGCCGCGCTCTGGATATTTACACGAACATTACATGTCTTAAAACCCCACGCGAAGACCGAGGATATTTGTGCATTACCTTGGCAACGCTAAAAATACATGAATGTGCAACTCTAAAGTTTACTATAACCCAAGTCAAATCTTCTTGTCTCTAAGGCCGGGAAGTAAAAATAGAAACTCTAGATTGCTAAGTTTATAACTGAGACAAAGGCTTCTTAAAGGTAAAATTAATTGATCAAGCATTTGACAAATATTCCACTTGATCATCGGTTCATTTTCGAATTCTCTGTTATCCATAAGGGACACTCCTAGATGGGCTTACAAAACTTTTCAATGCGACGCACGATTTTTGCAATAGCTCTTACACAAAAAAAATTCGTGTTAGTCTTCTCATTGTACTTGACTCTTAACGACATTTCGGGAAGGCGAAAAGTAGTGTTTACCTGTGTTTTTATATCGCCGGAACGACTGACCCTTAACAATATACCATAGCATTTTGAAATTTTAATTTTACTGAAGGCAAGGATTAGCATATTTAATTCATTCCTATACATATCGCAAATTGGAAATCAATGAACGAATATTGCTGATCAATTTACGCTCAATAGAATTCTGAGGTATAACACGACACATTTATTGACAGTGCGTAAATTTCAAATACTTTTTCCCGATCTTTTGGCCAGTTGGGTCGAAATCAATCAAGAAGCACGTCGAGTTACAAGAATGTAATAGCCTTTGTATTTAGAAAACACAATTTTATATTCTATTCACTATCCTTTACTACGATCTATTTTCGATAGCAATTTAATTTATGATAATTTGCGATAAACTGCTGAATCACAGCTCGCGATAACATATTGCGGTCTATTTTCACTAATGCTCACGTAGACAGAAACATTCATTTTCCTCCAGTCAGTGAAATTTCAACTTCCTGTAAAGTTCTGTTTATCTTACCATGGCCACTCTACTTCACGTAGATCGTTCCGTTGAACTTCGTAATAGACGGAAATCGGAAGGTAACGTGTTAGTGTAATCAACTAATAACGAATTATTATAGCTATAAGTTTCACCTCTCAGAGCAAGTGTTTGCAGTATTTTCCTCTTTCTCTCGAGCTTCTTTTCCCCTGATAAATCTTGAGCGAAACACGCTTTCAAAACCACACACACGGTTGTCGTTAAAGAGGTTAAAGAAAAAAGATTATATGGGTCATGCTCGCTTGGAAATGGCTTTAAGTTTGAATTTAGTCAACGTCTCGTAAATAATAAAATACTTGCATTTCGTCGCACAATTTCGATCTTTCGCATTTGAACCATTTCACTTCTGGAGTTAAATAGCATACAATTAATATTACTTAAAGAAACATCAAGCTCTAATTCAAATTTTTTACAAACCGTTCGTGGTCTGTGTGCGATATTTGTCAGTACTTCGGTTTGTCTTCTCTTCCTTCTAAAGCTGAAGAGGTTTCCCAAAATGTGCTTGTTTTTTACCTTGCTCTTCTACTGTTGAGCAATGACTCCGTTCTGTCTTACTCAGCGCAGAACAGGAAATGAGCGGCGCACGGCAGTAGTGGAACTACCTGAAACAACCTCTATTTCGCGCTGGAAGAAAATATCATGTACAAATAATCACACAAAATGATCTTGTAAAAGACGGGTTGAAAGAAACGCATTTCATTTCTTCCTTTCAGGGGCAAAGAGAATTTTGCCACTTCCCAGCGTTCCAGAGGAACGGGAGAGACATCACTCCGTGGCCACCATGACAAATTTACAGGGCTCTAAGGAGCCAAACCGGAAAATATCTTTGATGAGACGAAGTACAAGATGGACACTTTTGGCCAGCGATGTGGAGGTGATGCCAATATGTTCTTTAAAAGGAAGGTACCAGGTGCACTGTGTCGTTAAGGGACTAATACACTTGACCTGTCTATTTAGGGCAATTTTTGATTGAGTTAAGAAGGAAATCCGAGACTAGATTTGGTTTTTAGTCAACAAGGCCCTCTGATTGGTCCAGTTCCAACCAATCGGCTGCAAAATTAAACCGTTTGTCTGTTTTCACCTCGGGTTCTCATTGGCTCTGAGATATATTTTTTGTGTGTGTGATTCGTGGTCTGTGACGCCCAGTGCACTCTGGTGGAAGTTAAATATCAGCATATAGACACTAAATTTATTAAGAGAAGCACGTTGCTGTATATTATCCCATAACAATGTCACTGGAAAGCGTAAAATATGCCACAGTATTACAATGTAGAACAGAACAAAAATATGGAGCAACAAAACGTCGCACTGAACAATCCAAACTTTGATTTCTTTTTTTTCGTTTATTAGGCTTGACTTGTAAAGAAACAAACCTCCTTTAAGAGGGAGGGCTTTTTTTTTCGGTTACGAATAACATATTAATGGTCTCGTTCGAATTGTTTTCGTCTTTCGTGTACTCCTTATGCGATCGATACGATGCGCAGATACGGCTGCAGAATGTATTCAGCAAATAAACAGAGGAAGCAGTAACTTCAATATTCATGACCAGCGGTTTAGCAAACGAGAGATAAAACTATCGTGTAAATCCGTTGTGCAAACCGGATTCTCGACGCTAACTCGGAGAAACAAAGGAAAATGGGAAATTTTTTGTAAGTACTGAGACTATGAATGCTTAGATAGTTTAATCAGTTTTGGGACGAGAAAGGAAATTAGGGAACCTTCATCGTTGGCCTTTATTATTAGATTTTTTTCCCATTTGATTCGGTAACTAAAAGAATCCTTTTCGAGAGAAAAGTGTATTATCGTTATCAGGAGCCCATTATGGGTTCCTGTCGTCATGTAATTCAAAACAGTGTTGCCGAAAGTGCGTGGTTTGAATGTTATTTACACATGTATGTTTTAAGCTTGACATTTTAAGTCATTTATCATATTTTTTTAGTCAAATCTAGTCTTTAGAACAGGCGCCATCTTTTTTTTTTTGCGTTTACAGGCGAGCAGGGAAGAGCGCGAGGCGAGGCTAGGTGAATGCGCGGCGAACACGAGATGAGCGCGAATGGCCGGTCACGATTCATCCTTCACGCTCGACTCGCGTTTGCAACTGTAGCGCTCGCCTGAGTAAAAGCTAAAAAACGACGTCTATTTTTCAGGCTGCTAAAACTCTTGCTCTAAGCTTTTGATTGAAGAGAGATAAGTATCTCTTGTTGCATTAAAAAAAAAAACTCCTATTCTAAGCTTTTGATTGAACAGAGATGAGTATTCTCTTGTTGTATCTAGAGACCTATTTTGCCGAAGGTCCCCCGCGTTGCCTCTTCTATTGAGAAATATTTGGAATTGTGTACAATAAAAATTAGTTCTCTTAAAACAAAACTCTTGAATTAGTGGCCTCAGAGGACATAATCCGGTAATTAAATAAACAAATGAAACCGGGAACTTTTAATAAAATGTAACAAAACAGTGGTTTTGATCCTTAACCCTGAAACTGCAGTCGGTTAAACTTTTGCCAAAAAGTAGCAGCTTGTGCTTAGAGAATTTCAACTTTCATTCTTAAATTTGTTCAGTGGTTTGATAAATTTCCTCTTTACATCGAATGCTGTGAACATTCATCGAATTCGACACGCACACTGGCTTATACAATGGAGAAGGATTAATACCGGTTTATTAGCACCTTTGTTTACTTTTTGTGTCTCGCCGCTTTCGAGAATGCGACAGTTGGGCACTTGAACGGAGAGAGCAAAGTATTTGAACGTCTGGTTTTCACTTCGTCTCTGTGTGCTAATTACTGGTAAAATCACTATGATCGTTGCACGGAAAAGAGGGTATACATTGTCGCCGCGTTTATTGTCCAGTTCCAGGATCAGTAAGGTACTGTGAAAAGCATTATGTGAAGAACGTGATGTTGTTATTACGAAACCATCTCATCGCGTCTTGAGACAATACTTTTGTGAATCGATCTTGTAGAAAACATAATTTAAGTTCAAGAGTGAAAACTAAAAGATCTTCTCGCTTACTTCGTGGAAATTCTTGATCATAACGCCTTCGGATCGGCTGTGTTAGCTAATCAAGTATAATTAAGTAATGAAATTTCTATTTAGAATTATGACCTTGACTGTGCAAGTCACATGCAGTAATAGGAAAACCGCCTTGTAAAACAATCAAGAACTTTCGAAGTTTCCATAAATGTATATCAACAACTCCCCGGTGATTTGGAACGTTTTGAGTAATTGTGACCCATGCTGGTGATATGTCTATCATTGAATTTGTCCATCGAATACCTCCGCGTTTACCACGCAATGTAAATCAATCGAATGGGAACTTAGGCTATTTATCGTACTGAAAATTCAATTAAAATCTAATATACAAACCTTGGCCCAAATGATTGTTAAACAAACATGGTTTCAGTAATATTCACATTTGTGTCTCTTACAGTGAAAAGTGTCAGGTCGGTGTCACTTTTCGGGCTTTGAGCTAATTGAATTTTTAGCTTTGTGAAAATGAGATTTTCTCACGTACTGTTAAAAAAAAAAGGTTTACTCGCGTTCTGGAATGAGCCATGATCAACATCAATCGTTTGGTCTATTATACCGTTTAGCTTTTAATTAATTTAACAGTTTGGTGTTACGAGAGCGAGGAAACAAGGCGAAACGCAGAGAGAAGACCCGTAGAAAGCAATCCCTTATTCATTAAATTAGGTGCGAAGTATGACACTTGAGATAAAGATGATTTTAAATAGCATGAAAAAGAAAATAGAATGAATTGGCTGGTTATTAGCTCAAAGTATTTGAGTAAACTGGGAATCGTCAAATGCTAACGTTTCGAGCGCCGGCCGGAATAAAGTTGGGAATTGTGGGTCGTGCGTGTGTCACTGCAGCAGCTATTTGTAAATCATGCATTCAGATCCCGCGCGTGCGGCTAAGTTACTAAGGATTTTTCAATGCGGCGGCGACCCTGGTTGATTTCTTAATTCAATTAAAGTCTATTGAACGGTTGCGATACTCTTAGGAAACTCGAAACGTGGTATAAGCGAAAATTCATATCCTTTTTAAAGATGGAGATAGAGATCTCTGCCCATCTCAGCCCATCCCAGAGAGAGGTCTCTGGGATGGGCTGATACGGTAACTGGTTTTAAAAATCGATACAAGACCGAGTATACTGCTGACTTTTCTCTCCGATATCGATACTGTGACGTCACTGACTAAACTGATCTGTCACATGACTTGTTTGGAAGTGAACTGATTGATTATTTTATTATCCTCCGTAGTCAAACCCAGTCTTCACTCAGGTGTCGAGTAAGACAAGGCGGTTGCAACGTCAAGCATCGTTTTCTGGAGTCGCCAGTAAACTGATGGACGCCAGAAGCGAAACTTCCAGAAAGCTGAGCCGACAGATCAGTAGAATGGCCAGAGCACAGGAGGAGAAGGAACGACAGAAAATGAGAGAGAAGGAAGAAGCCGCTGAGGAGGAGAAGAAGAAGAAAGAGCAGGAGTTTGATCGTTCTACCATCACGCGCAAGTTGTCAATTTTCGGCTCATACCGCAGAATGTCGTTTAATCAAAAAGGGAAACTCTCTGAAGAGGTGAGTGATTGACAGATCAATTAGTTCATCTCTGTAATAGCATCGAGCCATTGTGCACCGTCTTTTTCAGTCCAAGCTCCTATATCGTATTTTCCTGCATCTTTTCCCCTTTTGATGTTTCCTCGGGTGTTATTTTTTATCCAATGTCATCTCGTTCCTTGATCGGGGTATTTATGCTCCTGCTTACAGCTGAGAAATATGTTATTGACTCAGCGAATAACTTCAGTTGTCCTCAGTTCAAATACAAAGCTCTGTCTAGAACTGACAACCCTGAATATATCAATATATCTGTGGATATAACCATGGCACCTACCTCAACCGATTCACCACAGCTCTTGACGGCAAACCATCGGACCATTTTTTTGAGAGACAATAATGACGTAATGGCTGAGAAAAGGACGTAGTGACTCCGACAGTTGCGTCGAGGATCATAAAAGCTCAGCCCTAATATTGGCTTGTAGACCTAAAGTACACGTTTTGTCTTCAAACACGTGTTAGTCGTGTTAGTGCTGATTTCTATTCTCTTGAATTAAAAAACTCTACTCCTGTTCCCAGCCTACTCAAGCTGGTTAACTTGCAAAGAAAAGCTTGCGGTAAAGGACACCAGTTTTTTAAAGATATGTCTCAAATAGTCTTCTGGTGATTGTGTAAACGATCTCTGCTAGATCATAGAGGCTTGACTCTTAATCACAACGCGCATGCGTTTTATTTCTTTTTTGAAAATAACTTCTGATCACTGAGCAACCTATTTGACCAAGCAAAGAGCATTGAATTAAAAACTTGTTCCCAGGGCCTTCTCGGCTTTGATGTCCAAAATGGCAGACATTCAACACCAACTACGGAAAATTCAACCGATTGCTATCGCTTGAAAAATCAAAAAATACAATTAATTATGTTGACTTCATTAGTAAGATTGATAGCTCTGCCTTGGATTTGTTTCCGTGGGCATAAGTAAATAGTTTTGAATTCCTCTCTATAGCCTCAATGCAAATTTCTTTAATGGGTTTCCCACTGTTAATTGCAACCCCATGCGGCGTCGTATAAAAACGTGACGCAGTTTGAATTACTAGTAACTGCGGACAACAGAGCAAACTGTGCGCATCCAATCGAGTGGCTCGTTAAATGGGTTTTAACAAAAATAGATTCTATCGCTGCCTCCTGAGGGAGCAATGATGCATGTAGTGCCCCCTTTAAGCAGAATATCAAACCCTCAGGGTTACAAAATAACAAAGATATGCCTATCAGTGTACATACCTTGAAAGCTTCGTCACTTTACGATTTTGAATTATTTACGTGATTGATACAAAAATTAGCAAACAAACTGTTTATTTTTCAAAAGATTTAGGTCGATTTAAAAACTTTGTTCAGTGACAGATTATCTCTTATAAAACAGAGATAGAACAGTACCTGATACGGCGACACAAAAATTGTCGAATTTTTGATGACGAATGAAACTCACCCTTCCCTGTAGAACTAATAACAACCGACCCCGAATGAAACGAATCATCTGTCAAGCATGGTAATTCACGTTTTCTTTTGACAAATCCCGTTGAACTGAAACCGTCAATCGTTTGGCTTATTGACGGCGATTTCGACGCAGAGGTTAAATCTGTGCTGAACTGTTGACCGCTTGTTTGTTTAATAAGTTCCAATCTTTTGTTTGCGTAGTTATGGATAGTGCATTTTGATGCAAACCAGACAAATCGTGTTTACAGAGAGAGTCTTATGAATTTTCAATTAAGCAGCCAAGCATTAGATCGGATTCTACTTGCAAGGAGTAATTTGACAAGAAGATTAATCGATGATTTGGAATTTTTGTGTTAGTGATACCGATTGCAGTGGAGACATTAGTTTCAATTTAGGTTTAGGCCTGATTTAACGATGTAAGAAGCAGTGCTGAAGCACAAACTTCAGTTGTGCCATCTACTAAAAGATTGCTGCATATTGCTACGCAACGCACGCGAAAAGTTGAGAAGTTTAACAGTTGAGTTAAAAAAATCCTGAACCACAGCAACTGGTGAAGAAGACTAACTTATGGTTTAACCTGGTGAATTCTGTTTCAAAGACGACATGACGAAGCAGGAGTATGTCACCTTCCGCTTCCAGAGAAGCTAGTTAAGTATCTGTCCGATTTAACACAACTGAAACACTACAACCTACAAATGGCGATTGTGTTAGGAGGTAAAGGAGACAACCAGCTAACAAAAGAATGCTGGAATGAAACGAAATCAAGAAATTCTTTTTTCCGAAGTCAATCGGAAAGCCCTCACGCAAACGGACATGAAGCTAACAATGAAACAAGCAGAGAGAATATGTCTAACTTAACTGGAAGAACTCAGTCAGAGAGAGAGTCGAAGGAAATCCCGACTTCAGGAGGCTTTCCTCGTATTTCTTCTGATCCTTATTCTCTTGATGATATTTCATTAATTTCTGACGAAGAGCAAGGTAGCACAAAACTCAGAAAAACAGTTTCATCCGATGCAGCTGGCCTGGAAAAACTAGTTCATATTGACGGCGTACTACGTAAAATTTCATCGAAGCCCAAACAAGACCAGAAGTGGCTTCCAAATCAAGTTTCAAAGAAAGGAAGACTTTCTAGACGGGCTTCCCTGCCGCCAACTTATTTAGGGAATTTCCTGTCTGTAAACAACATCAGGAAGCGAGCAATAAGCAGCGCTGCGGACGATGCAGACGATGGGGTCATATCTACACACATAGACGATCGACTTCCTTCGCAAAATTCAACGCGGAAAGCTAAAAATGCTGGACGAAAGAAAGTAAGACCAATCATAAACGAAGAGCATCTTGTTTCAGAGAAAGAAGAAACAGAAGTAGTTCTGCCCGCAGTCGAAGTAGACGTTTTGAGTGAAGAGGTAGTTGAAGAAGAGAATGACGGCTCGGAGGTAGCGGTAGGTTTCGTGGCAAGTTAAATTTTCGTTACGGTCGAGTTATTGCCTCGCGTGAGCCACATTTTATTATTTGGATTCAAGAGACGTGTGTTTCACAACAAGTACCTTTTAAGTCAAACTAAATTGCAGTTCCGCTTTAGTTTAACCAAATTATGATCGAGTGTCTAAATCAACGGCCTTATAAACTTTACGCAATATCCCCTGTAGATCTAAGGACTATTGACTTTTTGACGGAATCAGACAATGTACTAAACCACAAATTTAACTTTGGAAATAATCAAATCTCTGATCTTTTTCTCTTTCAAGATTTGCATATTACACTAGATAATATCTTAATTATGTTTTGGGCCCGAAAACGGAACTTTTTTGAACATTTTGAAAATGTTCAAAAAGTTCCGTGATGGCGGTTTGGTATATTAGAATAATTACCAATAGTAAAAATAGTTTGCTAATGTAAGTAAACCCTCTCAAAACCCAGAGGCTGGTGACGTCAATGGATCTATGGGAAGTTAAAATTAAGAAAACTTTTTTTTCTTCCAAGAAAGAGTCAAGTAGCTCTGTTTGCCGGAAATTGAGCAGAATTAGAGCCAAATTTTTTGGAAAAAGAAAACCAACAGATGTAACAAATCCAAAAGCAAAAAAAAGGTTAAAATTAATTATCAGACGATGGCTGGTATGTAATTCGATCGCTGAAGTGCAGGCCACTCTCTCGAGGCACATTTCCGTGCCGGAGGTAGCAAATGCAAAACGGATGTATTTTTCCTTTGCACAAAAGACGCTCTCGTTTCTCATTCAGCACAAATTACGTGAGGTTTCAGGGCCACGCAATGTCTTCTTCATCCATATTGGCTTCTTTAATTACTGGCCCCCTGCCTTGCATCTATTATTTTCCGACCGATTTTTTTTTCTCGCTTTTCAGCCTATCGAGAGATTTCGAAAAATTGTTCAACTTCTTTGTTTCCTGCTGAAAATGAAGACTTCTATGGACAGGTATGTGTTGTTGTTGTAATTTTCGTAAGCTGAAATTTAAGGCATTTGATACTAGCTAGAATCAGGAGGGCATGAAATTTCTGATCCTCTCTCGTCAGAACTGAGTACATAGCCACGCCAGTCTGCACTTATTCCACTTAAAGAGAAATACGTTACTGATAAGAACTGCTTCTTCTCCAGATCAGTCAATTATTTGAGTGTAAAACTAACCTGTCATAAGTTTTCACGGGCGTTTGTCTGCCCTCGCATTCTAGGAGCTAATAACTTCCTCTCATTCATCAAGTACTGTCTAAGTTTTAATTGGTATGATAACTGTGATATTATGTCGTAAAGATTGCTACCTACGGACACATTCAGATGACGTCACCTCGGGCTAATGCCGAGCCAATCAAGATTCAAATGCTAATTTGTCCAATTAACTCTGTGAAGCTGAATTTTTGACGCAATCAATTTTCGGTGACATAAACTGTGTACTAAATGGACAAGTTACTTAAAGCAACCCATCTAGATAGAAATTTCAACTTCAAGAAGATACAATGACCATTTGATTTGATACGCGATACCTTTGAATTGAAAGTACATGTACTTGGCTCGGATAATAACTTCCGCTGAGGAAGTCAAAACGTCTGAGTCATAGCCATCGGCAACACATCCTTTCACAGTTCACGATCAAATCACTTTTGGACCATTTTTTTTTGGCGTAGGGTGGCTGAAATGAGATTATGAGCATTTCATAGGTTTCTTTGAAAAAAATATGCATTTCATCCACGTTTCTTTCACATGGCTTTTTTTTTTGGAATTTTATTGCATGCACGCTTGAAAACTTCTTCACTCACAGCGCTGCTGTCTCCCTTCAAAAATGAGGCAATAACTTTTACCATTTGTCTTTTTAATGTAGGAAATATCGCTCCCAAAACACAAACGTGTTCGCTGAACTGGACGCGGAGACTGTAACCAGCGTGGATTGTGATGGCATGATTTTTGATCCAACTACCTTTAAGGCAGTGCGAGAGGTAAGCTGTTGATTTAAAGTCACTTGACATCATCTCAATACTCTTTATACCCACACGTTTGAAATGAATGGCGTGAGAGCTGGGTACAAGAGAGAGGCAGAGAGAGCTTGAGAGAGTGAGAGAGAGCTGCTTTTGTTAACATTTGCTTTGGTTTTTATATTGAGCTAAGGATTAGAGTGTCAATCAGTTTAAAATAAATCCAATTCGGATCAAAGTTATCTCGAGGCTATTTCTCATAGTTTTACGATTTGGTTTTGCCAAGAGAAAATAATGGTCTCCTTATAAAGCGATGTGCGTCATGTCTTTATGAACGATTCGTAAGAATTGTTACATGAATTGACATTGAACCAAAAGATAACAGGTTTACAGTGATTAAATTATTTTGATTTATATCCAACAGGTACAGTTAAGTCAAGAAGCCATTCACATCCTCTCTCTGAGTCCCGGATCAAGAACGGAGGAACAGCTTCAAACTGTAAGTATATTGCCTAATATTCCATTTTTGAGCGCAAATTTTCTTGATGTCTCCCTGCTCTTCCTATTTATCAAGAGTTTCAATTGGGTTGGAACAGAATCAATTTTCTTTCTTCAGTAGAAGCTCTAGTATTATGACAAAAAACTCTGTGTAAACATTTGTTCTGTCTCCATTTGTTTCCAGGCCTTAGTTGCGCTGAAAACCAGTGTTGCTGCCTTCGGCGAGTATCCGCTGAAGATGCAGCGACGGTTGGTGTCTGTTGGCTGGTATGAAAGGTGAGGGGAATTTATAACATCATCAAACAACAGAAATGATCCGTTATGCGTTAAAACACCTGAGCTTTGAGCTAAGTTCTCAGGTAAAATAAATTGATCAAAAGTAGAACTTGCTAAAAAACAATGATAAAAAATCGTGCAATCCTAAAGGAGTAACTTTAGGACTTTTATGAAGCTTCAAAACAGTCGGAATACGTACCAATTCTTAAATTTTGGAAAGAGGAACGTTCAAGGATATTTAGTTCAATTTACGCGAAACATAGCTGCTTTTTTGTCCTAAAGATTTTAATTCAATATGGATTTTTTGCCTATTTTTGATAAAAACTTCAGCTTTAAAGATAAATTTAATGACTGAGTCTTAAGACTCACTAAGCTAATAAAATAATAAGTTGAATATGCGCTTTCATGGCTGTTCTTCGCACTTAGGAGTTATCTCAACTTGTGTCATGACCATCTCAGTCTTTTTGTTTTTTTTCTGTCATGTTTACATTGTATCATTCTTTGTGGACCTTTTGAATTAAAGATATGAGCTCTTTTGTTTTTAAGATTTGAGGCCAAGAGAGTTATAATTCGCCAAGGCCACAAAGCGGAAAACTTCTATTTCATTCTGTCCGGGACAGGTAATTAAGCTTACTTTGTTAGATCTTTTTAGACTGTTAAAAGACAAATTTTCCTCCGAAGCCGTCAGCTTCGAGTGGCGCAGCCCACCCAAATGACGGCTGAGAAGGAGGGTTCACACAAAAAGAAAACAAACAAACGAACAAACAAACGAATAGAAAAACGATTGAATAAATACTACCCCTCGTTTGATATGATGGGAGTAAGAGCGCTGGATCTCTGAGAGGCCTGGGTTCAAACCCTGACCAGGTAACTGCGTTGTGGTCACACACTGTGCCTCTTGTCACCCGCAAGTATAATTGTTTACCGGTAAACTGGCAAAGAGACTTGATCTAATTCTGGTGAGGAGGGGGAATGGATCAGTAGCATCAATACCTTTATTCGCATTTGCTACTGAACTTGAGAGAATCGCTGGACGGATTAACACCCCCCCTCCCCATGGCCCTTACACTAATTGTACAATTATTTTGTAGCACTCGTTACGCTATTAGTCAACGATGCGAAGTCCAGAGAACAGAGAAACACAACAGTTGCAGTTCTGGGGAAAGGAAGCAGCTTTGGGGTACGTAACCAGCCGTAATGAACAAAGAGTGTCCAAAGCCGGATTGAAATAACATAACCCGCATATTATCTTGAAATAATTTGACATTTGTGGAGGGTAACACATTGGAAAACCTGATATATTTTATGTTTGGTCTAAAACTGTTAACCAGAGGAGAAAAGGTTTCCCAAACAACTTTATTACCGGTAGTTCCTTTCTTGGTTACAGTTTAATTTGTAATAACCACCATATGCTTTTGCTTGTGCTTTATTAAACTTTAGGGAAGATCTCTAAGTGCAATGCACAAAACTTGAAAAATTACTTTTATTTTCTCTTAATCTTTCAGGAACTGGCCCTGCTTCATCACAAAACCAGGAGTGCGACAGTTTTATGCAAGGATGAAGTTTCTCTCTTAGCGGTTTGCAGAGAGGTGGGTTCAGTCTCTTCGTGAGTTCAAAAATCTCTACCAAAACATAACAATTAATTTCATTAAGGAGCGCTTGATAGTTCTCGTGAGGAAACAACTTGGAACATCACAGGAACGAGATCACTTTTGACTGATTTTCAAATTAAGGTCTGTGACATCATGTTAGGCCGGGTTTGCAGGATAACGACTTTAAAATGTTTAGAGTATATTTAACAAAATAATTTGCAGTTTCCTGAACTTCTCTCGCGCCATTTATTTTAGGATTTTCGCGATATTTTTATGAGTTATGAGGACGGCAGAGAACCAGAACATATCCGATTTTTAAGGTGAGAATTTTTCTTGTTAAATGTTCATTCAGTTTCAAGGTATATTAAAAGTTATAACTTAGAGAAAGATGTTTTTCTTCTTGCCACGAGCGTGGGACAAAGAAAAAATTCTGAGTCCTCAGGAGGAATCAATGCTCAGACCTTCGGATTTCGCGCTCCGATGTCCTACCACAGGCCCGGTTCAGACGCCGTACTTAAGCCGCGCCGAATCGAATTCAACGATAGGCCGACCTAAATTAGTTAATCCTGGCTGAATTGATTCAAACGCCGAACTTTATTCGGCCGAAATTAATTAATCGAAGAAATTTTTTAAAATTATTTTTCAAATAAAGACTAGTGAGCAGCACACAGCAACAGATCTTGTCAACTTTGTTAATTATCCGACCGGTTTCGTCCGATCACGCAGACTTCATCATTTTAAAAAAATTCACAAATGAACTACTAATACACTAAACGTTTATAGTATAAATCACTTTCAAATTGGGGTGTGAACAACAAAAGCACCCACAAACAGGAAATGTTACGCAAATCCAGCGTAACAAATTGGAAATGTTACGCAAATCCAGCGTAACAAATTGAGCAATGTTTATTTTGGGGCTCAGATTTATCGTTAAATCGTGAGCCCCAAAAATAAACTTTTTCTTCGAAATCGAACAGTTATTGCAAATTGGGATTTTACATTTCAAGCAAGCATATTTGGTCGTGCCGAAACACGAACAACACAAGTCACCATCGTCTAGTTTGGCCCGCCAAACCGCCACACTACTTTGCGCATGCTCTCGAGTAAAAATCAGCATGAAAAACGCATTAAAAACTTTAATATATGACATTAAATATGTGATATGTAATATGTTACATTAAAATAATTTATGCATTTGTTTCGGCTCAGTTGAAGTACGGCGTCTGAATCAAAGCTGGCCTTCAGCCGTTCTTTCCGGCTGAGTCAGGTGGGATTAATTGACTGAGCCGATCTGAATTAAATCAGCCGTTCCGAATTGATTCAGACGCTGTACCTCATATGAACTTCATTCGTTGTATTTGATTCGGCTCGGCTGAAGTACGGCGTCTGAACTGGGCCTGAGCCACACAGACTCTACGGTGAGCAGACTCCCACGCTCGTGACAAGACGAAAAACATCTTTTTTATTTTTTACCGAGCTCAAAACTTACCGTCTCTCCTGTTCTATTTGCAAGCTATAACTTAGTTTGTCAAATCATTCGCTTTTTCTTCACAGAGGCGTCCCGTATTTGAAGGATCTTCCACTCGACGACTTAACGACTAAGCATGACGTCTGCATATTTCATTACTTCAGGTAACCAAAATTGATGGGAAGTATGAATAATCGGGAGAAAGCACAAAGGTGCTCAGTTGCTGGCGCCCCAAGAAGGTTATCTTCAATGAATCAATTTTTACCGCCGTTTGAGATCAATTTTCCGTGGCATTATTCTCATGTTCGTGATCATTGGAAGAAAATTCATTTACTTGGTTGAAATATTTTTCCTGACAAAATGAAATATTATTTATGAGTCGCTAAGCTTTGATATAATTTTTTTGCCCAATTTATGACAGCCAGAGAAAAGTAGAAAGGCTTTGCACTTTATTAAATTTTAAGAAATAGTCGGATATCCATAAGTCTGAGGATCACCTGTTGTTGTTCGACATGAACATAGGGAAATATAATTTACTTTTGATCTGTATTTTTTTTCATAGGCGTGGGGTTGTTATAGTTAACGAAAGTAAGACGAAATGGATATACGTCGTGAAAACGGTGAGTAATTAGCGGACTACATTTCGGTAGAAAAAAGCTGTGACGTGAAGTAGTCGCACGTTACAGGCGTTGCTATGGAGCCCGTTCATCAAACCCAAGAATTCATTATCGTGCTTTGTCACTCTGAATTTTTAATCGCTTTTCAAAACGTTGTTAAAAGAGTTCCGGTCCCATTGTTTTAGTGCGTGGCGTGTTCTGCCCGTATATACCCGAATATACTGGCAGCAGTTAAATGATTATTTGTGTTTCCAGGGATCTTGTCGAGTCCTAACTCATTTGTCCAAAAAGACAGCAAAGTTAAAGCGGTCAGCCGGCAGTCCAGAGAAAACGAACGCAGTCCTTCCCGTGATACCTGTGGACGAGGCAGACAGGAGGAAAGCGCTGTATACAGGTATCGCCTCGCCTTAGTTTCTGTTTATAAGCATTGTGTAAGATGCAAAACGCTTAAATGAATTTAAGTTATTTTTATCACTTTACCACTTTTGTTTTAGCGGCGCAAACTAATTCTGATTGACATTCACGGTGGAATTTTGTGTCATGTATCTTTTCCTGAGTTTGTCAACCGACGAATCTCTCCTTTCTATTATGTAATTCTCAGATTTGTCACTATTTTTATCGATTTATCTGCTAAAATAATTGTCCTTTATGACAAGCATTCGTGACGACGACAAATTTGTTACTATTTTTATCGATTTATCTGCTAAAATAATTATCCTTTCGACATGCATGTTTATGCACGCAGACAGATAACGAGACACATTAAGCACGTTTAAAACTGTCTCACGTTGCTTTAAACTAGAATTTAAAATTAAAAAGAAATAAATTCGATTTAACCTATTGAGTTCGTTTCAATGTCAGTTCTCCTTGCTTCATTCCTCGCTGACCATCGATTGTTATTCGTAGCGTGCCTAGAGAAAAATAGAAGCAGATTAGATGAAAAAGCTGAGGATAGTATTCGCGTTTGGCAACCGTTCGCTTTTTCACCGGCATTGCGTGGATTTTGATTTTAACCTATCTTTTTGCGGTAAACAAAGAACTTCGGGCGGATTTTATTTCTATGAGAACTCGATCGCAGATCTTGGATCGAGTTTGATTTGACTATGTAAACGAATTTCCACCGCTTTGTGCCATCATTCTCAAGCGTGTTGCTCTTCACTTCGAGAACGTTATGAATTTAATCACAGATTTGTTTCTATTTTGCATTTCAGCCATGAAATTTATGGTTTCTCATATGTAGACGATAATGATAAATACGGCGAAAAGGAAACAAAGCCAGTATATAAAAAACCTGAGAGATATGACTATTTTTAAAAATAGAAGATCAGAGACGGGTAGTTTAGGTGAGAAAATAAATTCCTACCGTTTGTCAGAAAGGCTCGTCGTTTTCTTGCGGCCTCGGACGCTTTCGCAGCGATGAGTTGTTGGTGAGGTTTTCACTTGCAGGCCAATCAGTACTTCTTTGTTTTCCTCTTCCCCTTTTTCTTTCCTGAAGGTGGTTTTCAGCAAAACGCTCACCTTGATGATCGGCCTCCACCGAGCAACGGCTCATTTTGGCAACATAGCAAAAAACACAGAAAAGTAGCCACTGTAACGCCTACACTCAGTGCTATCAGTGCCATCATAGCTTGTTCAAAGTCGAGCTTCATTTTGGCCACGACATTAAGAGAGAGCACCATGTTGTAATTTCAACTTCTACCGAAAAGCGATTTTGAAACTATTTAGCGTGACTAAAGGAACCACGAAGATTACTTCTAGTTATGAAGTGAACGTTATTATATCTGTTCCTTACTGCACATGTCTGCACGTGAAAGTAATTTTACTGTACGCGCCACTGGTTGCTGAACTTTCGGTTTCGACCGTATTAATAATTCAATAGGGAGTTTAAGAAACGACGGAGGCGACGCTGTGGACAACGTAGGTTAAAATATGAACTTATATTTTACCTAAGAATCTCGCGACGCTCTAAAGTTATTAAGTTTGTTTCTCGCTGTCAAAACTATTTCGAAACTGAACATGGAACACAGCATTAAATTAGAAAAGAAATTTAAAAAATTAGCCATCGCCGAGTACGTTCTCCAGACAACGCAAAGTTTTGTCATTTCACGCTGTCGTTTTGCAGAGGACGCAAAGAAGTTTACAAAGATTTGTAACGCACGTGCACAGCCATTGTTCTGCTCATTAAAACCTTTCGTTAAGTGACGTTCCCGTTGCAGTTGCCACCATGGTTTTCTTAAATTCCTTAATATTATTTCTTAGACCTACATGCATTCGCATACCAGAAAATACACCTACTACGTAGGCTGATAGAAAACTGAGGCGGCTAACCTCGGCGTTATTTCGTCCATTTTTAGCTGCTGGTGATCGTATCCGACCGATCTTATGGTCGCCAGAAATTAAACGGCCTAAGACTGAACCTTCATTATCCTCAAAGAACAACAACGATCTAACACTGCCTGCCTTGGTTGGTGAACCGGAAAAATTCAGGGTAAGAGATGAACGAGGAATCCATCTTCATTATTTATTCATGATATGTGGTCCTGTCCAAAACACAGCGGTCGAACGTCGGGCATGCGCGCGGGGATCAATTCTCTCGCCCACGCGCCAATTTCCCGCGCAAAATCTCAAAGAAAACATCGCAAACAACCGCTGTCTCGCAAAATAACCTTGAAGTAGTTGAAATGTTCATAGAAAGCTGTAAAAGGGAACAAAATAAAAGATATGGAGAACTCAAGAATTTTTGAACGCAAAGCTTAGTCAAGTAAGGGTATCTTGTTGATTTACAGAAAACGTTATGCGCTTTTAAAACACTATGACCAACTGACTAGTGTGGTCTGAAAGCACGCCGCCTATTCATCACAACGTTCGCACATACAGAGACGTTTGATCGCTGTGTTGTCCACTCCACTAAAATGCAAACCCTTCTGTGAGCGCTATAAAACTAACGGGATCTGGCTCAAGAGATTTCTCCTCTCAAATGACTGGCTTTTATAACGGGTAAAATACTGGCACAGGAAATCATACAATTTCGAGTGCAATTTGTAACAAAGAACCACGATTGATTTTCTTAAAGATCGTCAAAGCGCGCGAATGAATAATGTATTCAAACCTCCTACAATTCATGTTGCCAGCCACAAGCATTGCGCTGGGTTTTAAGGTCTTAATTTCCACTTTCAATTTTTCCTAGACCTTGAATTAATGTGCCTCTTTTGCAGGCCATCTATATATTGACGGCGATCTTTCATATCCTCAGATCAATCGTCTAATTGCTAGGGTCTAATGGATTAACATTTTTTTACTCCTCAGAAAACCGCTAAAAACGTGACTTGGATGGGACGTCTGAGCGCGTTATCTCGAGATAGTGAGTTTATTTAAACGTTTAAGTTGATTTCGAAGGAGTCATTCTTCAAAATTTTTCGAGTTCGTCACTTGTTATAATTGTAAATTTTTTCAAATCCAGTCATTGCTGTTGTCCTTCTTTGTTCAGTTTTGCCTGTTTTGTCTCTGTCTTTCCAATCAAACTTATACTTCGCAGTTCCTTCCAGGCTGAGGCACAAGAAAAAAACATTATTTCATCGTAGAGTCCCCTTATGAACATTTCAGAGTATTTTAGTGAAAGCCTAAAAAAAAAATTAATAATTTTTCTAATACTTTTTTTATCATGCAGTCAGAGATAGCGAAGAACATCGGCAGAAAATTGAACGCCTCCACAAACGGATTAGTAATGTGGAAAAACCCCGAAATAAAACTCCTTCGGTGAGTACGAAAAGCTCGTATTTTTCCTCTCATGACAGTCATGACAGTTTCTAGCCTGGTTAGGGTCAGTGATTGTAACTCCGAATAAAGGGCGTGGCTAAGATAGGGGAGGACTTCAAGTAATCCCGTCCCTCTCTTTGCCATGAAAAAAAGTGATAAGTCAGAACTCGAAGAGAATTTTCATGCTCTCAAGTGCCTGTAACACGTAAGTATCGATATTAGAATCGTCATCATCGCTGTCATGGGTAAATTTTCTTAACGGCTGAGCCCAGGTGGAAGAAGGACAAAACAAATTCAAGCGTAGGTTTTGGTTCTTATCCGTAAAAAGGAATCCACCCTAAAAAAAATTTGTATCATTGTTATTCCAGAATAACAAAAGACAACTTGAGCCACCAGAGGCGGACTTAAAAAACGAGCAAGTGGTGGTGCAGATAGAATTACTTAAACCCAAGGATCAGTTTGTAAGTGATCCCATTATAAACGACAGCAAGAGAGAATCAGACTCAGAGAGTGACTCTCTTACATAGGCCTCACTCTTAGGGGAGTCTTTCTTAGGGTATTTATAGATCATTCAGGAGGGATCTTGGAATAACTAAGTTTGCTCTAATTTAGGGATAATAATCTCATGCGGCTTCTACTGATTGCTGTCCACCCACACAGGCAAACGACTCGCAATGTAAATGCAAAATCATTCCGTGCGTTTAAGACTTTTATTCTTTAAACTAAAACCTTTTAGGTCAAATAAGAACATATAATCTCATCTCTCATCCCTACCGTGTCCAAAACTCACAACTATCAAGTTCCATCGCCGTCACAACCTTGTGATAGTTGCAATTTTTTGTTTCCCTTCTAGGGTCTTTCGATGCTGCTTTTCGATAATCCTGCCGTCAAATGCCATTTGGTAAGAACATGTGATAGCAATTTTAGTTGCACCGTGTTAAAATCGTTTTGTTTCACTTCCTACCTTATGGTATTTCGTTCCTCTTGCCTTTGTATGATATGAGAGACAAACCTCTTCAACTCAATATGGGCCTCTTGGATCCCAAAGCAAATCTGAATTCATCATGGCAAATACAGTTTTTCTTTTTTTTCCGGAGAGGAACTCTTTGAACCTATCAAAGCCCATCTAAGGCGGGCTTTGAAGAAGACTACTGATGATAGCAAATTCCGTCTTAAGCTATGTGTTATGTACCATGCATTTTTCAGGTTAGCAATGGAGCGGAATGTGTTTTGATAAAGAAAAGTTGGTTCCTGCAGCATGCTACAGAAGCAACATTGCGAAAACTTAGAAATCAGGTGATTAGCTTACAATTTGTTTCTTGAAGCAGCTTAACGGTAGCAAGTGCATGCTTTGTGATATCCTTACAACTCTGAAGCCATGTAATAACGCTGTGTGGGTATGAGCATAGGTAGAAATTTATTTTTCACTTTTTTTTGTGAGATAATTTAGATGTGTTGCAAAAACTGACTCAGGAATTTCCACTCAGAAACACACTGATGTCAGAAATTAACGGTAATGTCATGTGTCGATCAACTTTACTTTTTTCATCAGATTCCTCCATACCCAAGTCAAGCCACTCTCGAACAGAAAATGCAAGATCAGGCCAACTGGGACTCGTTTAAAACACAAACAATCAATTCTCTTCTAGATACACTTCATTTATGATACATTCTCAGACAGTTTAGAAATATTTCCAGTTATAATTTCGCCAACTCTTCAGATCACAAGAACCAGCTGGTGACCACTATTATTGTATGACATTGTTTCGGTCACGAACTGATTTGCTTCTGTAAGTTTGCTCCACGCAATTTTTTTCCTGCGCGGGATCAAAGCGGGAAACCCGTGCGGGCAGATGGGCCCATGTTGCCCGCTCATGTAGCCAATCAGAAGACAGGATTTTCCCATTTTAAGTAATATGGATACCATCAAACTGCTTGAAACGCGGTAAAAAAATTTGTGACCAAGCGCGAATGGTCAAACACGATCATTTAATTCGATAATTGTAAAAGACAAATTAAGCTTTGATATTTTTCGGTTATGGTAGAAATGAAAAATTTATTTAAACCTACTAAACCTAGTGGACTATTTTTCTAAACAAGAAGAATAAGGCGAAATAAAATGAGCGAAAAACTTCGAGAAAGTTAAATGCATTAGGAAAAAAAAACAGAAGCAAGAGACTTATGATGTGTAGTACTTTGCATGTCGATTTTACAAATAAAAAAAACGTAGTGTATTTATATGAATACTTATTTTTGAGACAAAGAAGGCTTCGTTCTATTTATTTTTGTAATTATTAAAATGTTATAATACCTATGCTTATATTTATGTATTTAAAGCAAATAAAAGAACTATTTTTTAAACCCAAAATTTCGGAGAATTTTTCTTATTGGCTAACAAACTCTCTCAATTTTAAATCATCTACATCTGCGAACTCCGAGGGTGAAACTAGAAAGGAAACACTTTTCACTTTCAGCCTGACCGACACATCAATTTAATGTGTTTTACATATCTTTAGAGAGTAAAAAGTCATTTATGATTAAAAACAAATCGCGTAAACAAAAAACCACTTAAGATGAAGTTGGCGAAGCAATTGTAAACAAAGTAAACATGAGTTATTTTTAAAAATCAACGGAAAAGGGTTTTTTTTAGTTGAAAATACAGTAGTTTTTTGTTTTAACTGGTCGAGTTTAGATTCGAAATCAGTCTGTTCCTTAACGAGCCTGCATGAAACAGTGGCCTCCTTGTGAAGAGAAAAAAAACACGAACAAAGACAAAATGTTATTGTTCTGTATCATTATCGTTTACAAAGAAAATTTTATTAAAATTCGTCAAATGCGCATCTGTGTTTGTGTTCCACTGGCCGGATCTTTTACTGTTAATTCATAATGCGCAATGATTAATGTTACATTTTGCCAACATTGTAAACAAGACTGAAAGTGAACTGAAAGGAAAAAGAAACAATTTTCCCTATTGTAAGTTCTCTAGTCTGAGGTACAATGCGGTCCAGGATAATTTTAAGACTGCCTTTATTTTTCAAGGTCATTCTGCTGTTCGTAGTACAAGGTAAGCGGTTAGATTGCCGTTTGAATGAATTTAGAAATGATTAGAAATCGCATCTTAATGCTTTCATAGTTTTCCTATACAGAGCTGTCTAAGGAAACTGCCTGTTTTTGTCAAAGGAAAACGAATTTTCATATTCCACGTCTCTTTTGCGTAACGTCTCTATTCCAAGCCTCTTTTCATAGCATAAACTTGAATACGTGCAAAATGTTTCTGTGTCTGTTTATTGACTTTTCATTAGCGGAGCAGATGAGACAATTCAAAAAGTTATCTGAAAAAAAACAATTTATAGAGTTTCACGGCGAGATCAGCCCATTTTTATTCATCAGATAAACATTCGTAACTGATTTAGCTACTGTGCTGACGCGGAATTGAAGATTGCTCTTAATGAAGTACTTGATTAAAGGAGAGGCTGTCATTTGGGCTTATAACCTGATTAAAAATTGATATTATTTTTAGCTCAACATCCAGACTCAAAAAGACACTCGAAAAAATACAAAAAAGGTCCATTGTGTAGGTCTATAGTCTCTCGCTATAAAATACGAAAGGATACAAGAAAATCTTCAATTAAAGGTGAGAAGATTTTTAAGGTGAGAATTTTTCTTGTTAAATATTCATTCAGTTTCAAGATATATTAAGAAGCTGTAGTTTAGTTTGTTAAATCGTTTACTTCCTCTTCATAGCGGCGTCTCGGATTTAAAGAATCTCCCACTCACATTGCATATTTCATTACTTCAGTTAACCAAAATTGACATAAAGTATGAGCAAGCGAGAGAAAGCATAAAAAAATGCTGAGTTGCTGGCGCGCCGAGGAGTTTATCTTAATTGGATCAATTTTTAACATCGTTTGAGATCAATTTTCCTTGGCATTCTTCTCATGTTCGTAAGAATCGTAAGAAAATCTATTTATTTAGTTGAGGCTATTTTTTTCTGACAAGATGAAATATTATTTGAGTCGTTAAGCTTTAATTAATTTTTGGCCAATTTATGAAAACCTATTTTAGGAAATAGTCAGATGTCCTAAAGCCGGAGGATTACCTGCAGTTATTCGGCGTAAACATACGGAAATTATTTTTGATTAATTTTTTTTAATGGGCGTAATGTTCTTATAGTTTATGAAAGTAAGACCAAATGGACATATGTCGTGAAAACGGTGAGTAATTACCGGACTAAGTTCCAGAAGAAAAATGCTGTGACGTGAACTAGTCGCACGCAGTCTACAGGCGTTGAATTCAAACATTTAGCTTTGTCACAGTGACTGTTCATCGAAAGAAGAAAGAAAGGAATACCTTCTCAAACCCCCAAAAAATTTCCCTCACAAGGTAGAGAAACTGCCCGTTATATTCTCTATGAACAATCCCATTTGAAAGCGTGACTACAACAGCTGCACTCTCATTATTATTCTAAATGACGAAATAATAGCCTCCACTTGGCGCGAAATATGCACGGATATTTGTCCGCGAACGTTATCTGTTCCGAGATGCAAACAATTTTTCGAGAGCGAAGCTTGAAGAAAACTCTGAGAGCCGGGGAACAGATTATGTCCAAGCTAAATGGAGGTTACTGTGTTTACTATCCTTAAAAGTTTCTCAACACAGTTGTTAAGTGTTTATGTTTAATTTTCAGTGTTCTCTGGAACGACTTCATGAACAAAATGTCCCTCCTCTGTAACAATAGGTAAGCGCTCTCTCGTCTTGAATCAACTTAAAAGCAATCCTTTTTATCACAGTAGAAGTAAGCTTTAAAAATTGGGTAATATCACATGGGATATATCCCCGGATATTCCCCACTTGTAAGTGAAGCACATTCAATAATGTGACGAGTTTAGATCAATCGCGTGCCAACAAAAATAATCGATGGATTATCAACACCTTTAACCTGGCGGTGCCTTTATGATTATTTGTGTTTCCAGGAATCTTGTCGAGTCCTACCTCATTTGTCTAAAAAGACAGCAAACTTAAAGCGGTCAGTTGGCAGTCCAGAGAAAACAAACGCAGTCCTTCCCGTGATACTTGTGGACGAGGCAGACAATTTTTATCATTTTATCTAAGCAATCCTTGCTTGAGGAATAGTATGCAAATTTGTTATCGGCGCAACCTTTATTCAGTGAAGAACAACTAGTATCAACAGGTTACACAATTCTTTCTCATACCTTAAATTAGAATTTAAAACAAGCAAGAAATGAAATCGTTCGACCCATGAAATCTACTGAAGAGGATTTTTCTTCAAACACATGTCACTTCTTGCTAAATTGAACGTTGACCAGCGAAGCGTGTCTATGGAAAAATAGAAGCAGATTAGATGAAATGGTTAGATGAACGATTGTAGAAGTAATTCGCTTTTGAAAAGAGTTCGATGAGTAACCTTTACGTGCATTTTGATTTTAAACATTTATTTGAGGTGAACAATGCTTTCCCTGACATTGTGAACGAATCTCAACCGCTGTATACCATCATACTCAAGCTAGTTGCTCTCATTTTGGTCAGGTGCTGAATTCAATTATTGTTTGTTCGGATCCAGGCCAAGAATTTGAATTTCTTTCATAAATGTACATAAAAGTGATAAATACAGCGAGCTAGTATATCAAAAATGTAAAAGAAATGATTTCTTTTCTAAATAGAAAATTAGGGAAGGTGGTAAAAACAATTTAATTGGTTTTGACCACACGCGCGCGAAAGAAAAAATTCCTACCAGAGAGGCTCGTCGTTCTCCTGAGGCTTCGGGCGCTGTCGCAGCGGTAAATTGGCGGTGAAGTTTTCATTTGTGGGGCTTTCAGTACTTATCCATCGTCCTCTTCTTCTGTTTCTTTGCTGACGGTCGTTGTCAAGTGCTCGCTCTTCTGAGTGATCCTCCCCAAGCCAAGGTACAGGTTGGTATCACAGAAAAAATACAGAAATCCAGCCGCTGTAACGCACAGACCAAATGCTATCGCAGCTAGTTGAAAGCCCAGCTCCATTTTGGCCACTATAACAAAAGAGAGCACACTTTGATACACCGAGTTAACGAGAAGCAAATTTGAAACGACTCAGCAGGAGTAGGTGAAGAAACCAAAGAGACAATAGGTGTATATGTGATTGGTGCCCTTGACTGCAGGTGGTTGTATGGACTGCCCAATCGTCACCCAACCTCACTGGTTTTTCGTTGTCACCATTACTCCTTCTCCCTTAGAATAATTTCCTAGTCGTTCTGAAATTTTTGGTCTCGACCTTATCAGTCCATTATGATTGCTTAAACTAAACTTTAACACGCATGCCAGGAAATACGCCTGCTATATAGGCTAATAGAAAACTGAGGCAGCTAACCTCCGTATTATTTCGTTTATTATTAGCCGCTGGTGATCGTATCCGACCGATCTTATGGTCGCCAGAAATTAAACGGCCAAAGACTGAACCTTCCTTATCCTCAAAGAGCAACAATGATTCAACACTGCCGGCCTTGGTCAGTGAACTGGAAAAATTCAAGATAAGAGATTTAAGAGAGTGTCTCTGTAAGAGCGGTCCGGTCGATTTTACTTGAGACACGGATTTCGCTCGTTTCTCGTGTGTTGTAAGACATTCATGTACCTATACTAAAACCACAATCAGTTTGATCGGATCTCTTTATTTTTCAGAGTTTTACGGAAATTAAATTTCACTCGAGCGAAGGCTTGTTGTGACACTTTTCAAGACTTTAATTTCATACAACTTTAGAGGACAATTTACAAAAAACTACGGAACTCAGCAAAAAACAAATACCACAGTCATGTATATTAACTCTATCTTATCTATCGAGGCGACTTTCGTAAACATCACGTGTCAATCAAGGAAACAGGAAGACTTGAATGACACCTTATCGGTTCGCCTAAATCAAACACGCCAAAACCGATCAAATTCAAGGTAAATTTTTGAAAAAGTGAGGCGTTCTTAACTGATCCAACTAACATAGCTAGGAAGTAGGTGCACTACAACTTTCTGAATTCCCCTCGTCGATTCCACCGCAAGAAATAACCTGAGCCACCCAAGCTTCGACTCGAATGTGAAGTACGAATCAAATAACATAACTGCTTCATCTTCGCGACAATATCACGCTGGTATTTTGATTTTCCGATCGACAAGAACGGTGATCAAGAATCGATCGGTTTGTTTACCTCGTAAACGTGACCGCTGACCAGCTGCTGAGTGAAAACAGTACGGTTCAGTGGCGAGGGGCGCGGTGAGGGGTGGATGCGGGCAGATT